TCTCATCAATCCATTGTTGATCCTCCTGTCGCTTATGAGTGCGACTATGCTAAAGCTGGGCAGCTGTTTCGCTTGCTGAATGAAAAAGTTCACCCCATTGATGAATTCATCTGTTAATGTCTTCCGACCTTGAGATAATCGGTTATACATCCAACTTCTTTGATTTCTAATATCCATAACCTATATATAAGAGTAAAAAATTAATGAATTTATATATATATATCTAATTAGTAGATCCAATTGATGAATTCATCTGTTAATGTCTTCCGACCTTGAGATAATCGGTTATACATCCAACTTCTTTGATTTCTACTATCCATAACCTATATATAAGAGTAAAAAATTAATGAATTTATATATATCTAATTAGTAGATCCAAGATATCAACGCCACCTAAACTAAAGAGGCAAGATGTAACTATTAGGTAAATAATATTTCTTTCCCGCTTAATTCCTCCATCCAAACCATAACCAATATAAAGGCATTCTCAAAAGGCTCATTTGTTAAGTTGATGAACATATAGAAATTGAGCTCGTTCATACCTAGTTAATGCTTGTTTGTTTAAAGCTTGATAACCATTAAACGAACCAAATATGAACCAAACACAAACTTAAACTAAACATGAACACCCAATATTTTAAACAAACCAAACATGAACAAAAATAATAAAGCTCGAATCAAACACGAACCGAAATTGAACAAGCTAATACTAAACAAACTCAAACATGAACACTCACAAACTCGGCTCGGCTCGATTCATTTGCAGCCTTATCCATGACTAAAGAAAAAAGATATTAATTTAAAACAGATCATTGATGTAATCCAACTAAAATAGAAAAATATTTGGTCAAACCACCTTGAATTTGAACACAAGTAAAAACTTCTACATACATAACCTTAAAAACTTAAATATAGGTATTATTAACGCTTCTCTTTCCTAAAACTCTCAAGAGAACTTCTCTAGAACTTTATCACATGTTTTCTCATCAAACCTCACAAAATATATGTCGCTTCCATAGGTAGTCCTACCCAGCATGAATCCAAATTGATTTTGAGAAACAATAGTATCATGCCGTAATCTATGCTCAATTACTCTCTCCAAAGCATGCACCAAAATACATCCTCTAGCAAGTGTCTAGTGATAACAACCATGACTATAGCAAAAAGATATGGAGTTAAGGCTAATCTATATGTAATCCAACCGAAATCGCAAAAAAAAATTGAAAATAAAAACCTTTGGTTATCTCCTCGCGGCGCGCGACTAGGAAGGAGAGAGGCGGCGCACGACTAGGAAGGAGGCTCGGCGAAGTCCGGTGACCGTCGACGGCGAAGTCCGGTGACCGTCGGCAATGTCTAACCACGGCGAGCGACGAACAGCGATGGAGGGCGACGGGCGAAGCAGTCGAAGTGAGAGAATGGAAGGAAATGAATGACGGCCGAGGGGTTCGGGTTCGTGAAATAGGGCTTTTACCGGCGGACGTTCCGCCGGTACTGACACTAGTGACGTCGGTATCAATTCCGACGGCTCATCCGTCAGATATATTTCGTTGAGTTTAAATACGCCGGCGCAATTTCCGCCGGTAAAATACGTTGGAATGGGAAGGAAACGAATGACGACCGAGGGGTTCGGGTTCGCGAAATAGGGCTTTTACAGGCGGACGTTCCGCCGGTACTGACACTAGTGACGTCGGTATCAATTCCGACGGCTCATCCGTCAGATATATTTCGTTGAGTTTAAATACGCCGGCGCAATTTCCGCCGGTAAAATACGTTGGAATGGTTCCGCCGTAATGTGCAACGGAAATGGTTGAGGCATCCCAATACCGTCGGAGTGGTCGGCGGAACCTGCGTCGGTGACTTTACGACGTATTTTGCGCCGGAAAAGTTGACGCAAACTTTACGTCGAGCAAATCCGCCGGTAACTGCGCCGTTTATTACCGTCCATAATTTTCCGCCGGAAAATCTGACGGTATTCGCGTGTTTTCCCGTAGTGTGCCAAGTCTCAAGCTACAGACTCCTTACCTTTATTTAAAATTATGTAAAATCATGTAATGAGCATAAAAGCCCAACAAATAATTAAAATCTTACAACTAAGATCAATGCAAGACAAAAAAGGAATAATATACTGTAAATCTTATAAGTCAATACATCAATATATGGTATATGTATCGATCACTTATGCAATTGATCAATTCTATTACACATCACTTGTCATTCAGTAAGTTAATCAAGCATTCTATCTTTATCACTCAATCAGTTTTATTTAATCATATCATTCAATTATTCTTGTCAGTCTCAGTTATACAACTATACATTTTATATCAATATCCATATTTAGTAATAGTAAGCAGTAACAAAAAATCAGTGTCCATAAGGTTAACGTATGTACAATATCAGTAATAATATTCTATATCAGGATTAGTAATTAATATCAGAAACCAGTATCATTAATTAGTATTAGTAACAAATAATTCATATAAGTAATTAGTAATTAGTATTTTATTTAATAATCATGTAAGAGTATCTTGTATCTTGCTTCTGCCTTTATGTCCTCCGATCAGTTGCCCCTTATTTCTCACAATCTCTGTATGCCTTATAACTCTCCTAGAATAACATGGAACAATTTTCTTGAATGTTTATAATTCTTAAGCAATCTCCAGTTCCTTATGACTCACATCAATAAATCAATAAATCTTGAGGTCATCACGTGGGGATTATCATTTCATACATCTAATATAAATTAGAATATTCTTTTAATCAGATCAATATCACATTCTAGTACATATCAGTCCTATCATTTATTTTAGCTCATATTAGATTTTAATATTATCATATCAAATTACAACACATCACTTTAAACCCATTTTTAGTGTAACTTTTCATGCTCATTTCATAGAAATATTCATGTGCACATTTCTAACTAGTGAAAATATAATAAAATTATATTATATTATTCAGAATGATCAAATCTATAATCTATTAAAAGTTACACAATGAAAGCATACGAAATTAGGGGATAATACATTTTTGGCAAATTTATGAGAGATGAAATATGTATAATTTAAAATCATCGATAACATAAGTGAAAGGAAAGTTTCTTATAATGAATAGAATAATTTTTGTAAAAGAAATGTTGAATGAAAATGCCTCGAAAAACTTTCTTTATCTTCCTTCTTTTGCTTCTCTTTCTTCTCTCCTCTCTTCACTTCCTTTGTTCTCGGCCAAGCAAGTGAGAATGAGCGTAGGATGAGAAATGGAAGTGATATTTATAACAAAAAAATATATAAAAATACTGCTACTGGCCTAGTGCTGCAGCGTCGGAGCTAGCGCTGGAGCGCTGCATGCAGAATTCAGAATTTCTATAGAAACAGAGACTCAAATGCCCTAATGATAGTTTTTGGCGCAACTGTGCTCTCAAATCTAGCTCCTAGCGCTCACAAGCAAAACACCAAAGCACTCTAGTTCAAACAAAACTTAAAAAATTCATATTTTAAAATGCTTTTAATTTTTGGATTGTTACATAAGATATTTGGAATTATGTATTTTTGGTTCATTGTGGCTCTTCTAAGTTTTCAACAAGATAGAACATGGAAACTTTTGAGTCTTTCTAAGCCGAAGCCAGTTTTAATATTTTGGGGATATGTAATGGATGATTAAATCTTTTTCTTGGAGCTTTTGCGATAAATTCCTACTCTATCTCTCTGTGTATGTGTGTGTGTATATATATAGGCATTGGAGGGATTTTCTTTTGTTTTCCTCTTTGTTCAAATAACAGGGTGGGAAATGTCATTAGCCAGACAAAACTAAGAAGAAAGAATGGTGTTCAAGAAAACCCAGAAAATAGTTTAACAAGAATTTGAAGCTTAATTACTTGCAATATGCTACCTCCGAAGGAGTTTTGGGTAATTATATAGATCTTTTGGAGCAAAGACAACTTGATTTATTAAGGATATGAATTATTTTACATGCCCATTCTACATGATTAAGATGTTCTGAGGAAGTCTAGAAGTTTCAACTAAAAATAAAATCATTAAAGTAGCTTCATATTCTTTTTTTTTGTAATAAACAGAAAGCCTTCTATTATCAAATCTTGATGCCCTTGTACATTTGAGCACTCATAGTACCACTAAGCTATTTTGGAAACCCTCGGAAGGATTTATATATGATTTGAAGCACAATATGAGATTTTCTCCATACATATTATGAACTATCAAATAGCAAGTGAAAGACAAATACATGCTTTGCTCTGCAATACTATCTAATATTGTTAGGTGCATTCCTCTTCTCAATTTAGATTGAGGAAAATTCAAGTCCATCCACTGGCGACATACCTACAACAAAAATAATATTAATTGAGTGTTGTTTTCTTCTCAAGTGATGATGTAGATTTAAATTGCAAAGATGCTTCTTACTCAGTGTATGATGATATATAATGACTTTGCTAAGGTTTTAAATGATTGGATGAGAAGTATTTATATTTCTCTATTTAAAAAATTAATATTTAGGATTATTGTAATTGTGAGAGAATAGCTCATGAGTTGTGATAAAATTATGAGATGAGATGATGAAACAAAACCCACGAAAATTATATTGGTGTCAAATAATCAATTGAGTTATTCCACTAAAAATCTAGTAGGAAGGTCATTTTTTTACAAGGCTACTACTTAAAAAATATAGAAAACTTGAAGTGACCTCATATTATGCCCAGAGGTAAGAGAATAAAAATTTAGGGAGCTATTCCTAAATCATTGAGCAATTGTAATGGCGATATATTTTTCAGCTATCTTTTATAATTTATTTATATTTTTTAATATTTTTCTTGTTAGTTAATGACCTCTCAAATTGTTAGTTTAAGAAGTATAGAAGATTATATTCTATGATTCCGGTAGCTTTTCTCCTTATATAGCTTAATATTTGTTTTTGGTATCTACATACATATTTGAAATCTATAAGAGGATCGAATTGGGGTATTGATGGTCAATTTTAATATATTCCTAGATAATATGAGGCTATTCAGAGATGTTGAATGAATTGATCAAATCAGCAAGGGTCTTGATAATTGGTCATATGTTATAATCATGCAAAAATCTCTCCAAGATAATCCAATGATTAAATTTAAAATCAACTTCATCCCCCATAATTAAACTCTAAATCAACTTTTTTTTTTTTAAGATTATGTAAACTTGGTCATTGTTTTTTTCTTTTCTTTTAATATTAGCACAAGTAATACATTGCTTCATATACACATTATATATGTTAAACTATTTTTCAAGTAAAAAAAAAAAAAAAAAAAAAAAAAACAATATAGTTTAAAAAAAAAAAAAAAAATACAAACAATATAGTTTGAATTCAATCTCTTTATATATCAGGTCCTAAATATAGAAGATTCATCTGAATAAACCATTCCTTAACAATGCAGTATGTATATATTACCATGCATAATGTTATGCTTAGTAAGTTTGTTGGCTTTATGATTATATTCTAAGGCTTTGTTTGAGATGACTTTCTTGCTGTTTCTTAAAGCAGCTTTTTAGTACAAAATTAATATTTTTTTACTAAAAAGTTGCTTTAAGAAGTGGTAAAAAAGTCACTCCAAGCGAAGCTCAAGTCATTCATATATATTATACATGCCTTGTATGGGTATGAAGCTTCTACCTTCTACCTCCACAACCATTTTCCCTTTGGCAGTTAAAGTACATGGCAGCCACTGGTGGCCCAAGGCTGTAATATTGTGCAAAGTCTCTCGTATTGAAGTTTTGACGCCATCCTGGTGCATAAATTGTTTGCCGGATAGATTGCTTAAATAATACGAACACTATTCGATGAATCCCAGCTGTTGGATTCGGGCTTTCATAGGAGACCACTTCATTTCCTAAAATGACATGATCAAATATATAAGCTATAGCTTCTTTAATCTCTATGGCTTCATTTGGGACGGTTTTTTTGTTCCTTCTTAAAGCAGCTTTCTAGTACAAAAATTTTAATTACTGAACTAAAAAGTTGCTTTAAGAAGCAGTAAGAAAACCATCCCAAACGAAGCCTATGTTAATAGAAATTGAACATATTTGACAATTAAAAAATTTCAAAATATTAATTGGAGAAGTGAAATCTTTATTAACATTGTTGTACAGTATGCTGCCACTCACCATAATTTGCAGTGGTTGTTTCTTGGATATCTGTCACCAACCTAAAATACCAACTATAACAGTTAGTATTATTCCTAATTGATTACTGATAAAAACTTAAGGAAAATAACCATATATTATATAGCTATTTATAAGTACATATTGCATTTTAGTTTGCAGATGATGATTCTTTGTGAACTTTCACATTTACAAAGACTAAATAATTGAGAAATTGGCTATAACTCATACGATTATACTAACATGCTACTTATTGTCCTGAAAGCATTTTGTTGAATAAATAAGAGCAAAAAGAGGTTCTCACCAGAGCAAGTGCTCTCTATTTGTTGGATTACTGGGGCTAGGTGCATCGGGATCTATCATCACCTATATCAGCAATTCAGTTGAGTGCTTAAGGAAGGAGCATTGTGGAAATAAAAAAAGCTATAATATTTCTGAAAGATTTAGTCGTAAATAACATCTACTATTCATCATTTGCCATTAACAATGAAGATCATTCTCCAGAAACTTGCATTTCCTTTTTCAGTGAAGTTTCTAATAGTAAGATTAGTTTCATTAATTATAATTATGTAAAGCCTAAGTAGCTTTTAATTTTCTTGGAAATTCTGATAGTTGTAAAGGAAAGACAAAAAAAGGGAAAGAGATTCATGCGTATTCCTTTGGTGTACTTGCCTGTGAAGCTTGGCTTAGAAACACCTATTTATTTGCTATTTTAATAAAACACTTCACACCTTTATATTCAATGTGTAATTTGTTATTCTATTGATGTATCACTTTCACCTTTTTCGTTGTCCATCTCTTATACTTGGATATAATTGTTCTCTTTTATCAGATAGTGCCATGATCAATAATTAAGATGTTCTAGATATGCTTGAAAATGCTACAATCTTTTCCAACAAAAATCGAAACTTAATTTCAATTATGAATTCAGCCAAATATAATTACTATTCATACTACTTACAAGGGTATAATATTTCTGAATATCATATCCTTCTATCTCCACGCGAGGCTCCCTCGCCACCACTGAAGGCTTGAGTTCTGAACCATTGGTGACTTCCTTGTTGTTATAGATCACGCTCATCGATGCCGATCTTCTGAAAGGATCCAAGACATCACCAACAACCCTGCCAACAACTAGAGGATCTCTCGACATTGTGAAGCTAGAAACAAAAAATAGCTTCCAACTAAGCAATGCCAAACCAAATAAGAAGGCTATGAAGCTAATAGTTTGATATGTAGTTTTCAATGGTGGTGAGACCTATACATATATATATATCTGCATGAGAGGTTAATGGATGCTACAGAATCTCTTTTTTGCTCCCTAGGAGCAATTTTATACATAGGGGGTGTCGAAGTGTCAAAAAGAGAGGGAAGAGTGTAAGCCTTGCTCTCTTGCATTGAATCAAAGGAAAAGGGATTTTGATTGGACACTTGCCATGGCTGTGAATATAATCTTTAGCCGATTGCGAATATCTTATTCTCTCTTAAAAATTTGGAATGATATGTTGTAAAGTGCTAAACCTTTTGACTTGCCTAAGTGCTGCCTCCTGGTTTATTAATCCTCATATGGCGCGAATATTGGAGCAAAGACAAGCAATATGCTTCTATTTAAATGGAAGTGAGATTCTATGTTCTTAATTCCTTGCTGACTTCATGCATGGTAACTGTGAGGCTCATATAGGCCATGGGTTGGCTTGTTTTTCTTTAGGAAATGATACTAATATGCCTGTGCATTATGTGGACACTTCTGATATATATCCTAGAGAATAATTATTATTTTTTAAAAAGATTTTCTGAATGATCAATAATAAGAATAGAGGAACTGTTCAATATTTGATCAACCACTAGAAAACAATTAGATTTGCAATAAATATGAAAACTGCTATTGGGATTAAGTCTGTCAAACAGATTTGTGATAGTGGCAGCCCCTATCACAGATTTAATGATATTGAAGTAATATTAAAGAGTTCAGATAATTTTCAGATATGGGATAGCTGCCCTTGTAAATATAGTCTCTTTATGTTGTTTAATATTAATCGGGAATCTTCATATTTGATGGTTAACAAATCTGCTTATTAACACTATTATGTAAAGTATATAGGGATGAGAAAATTACTTTCTTTTTGCTTGAAAAAGTAGTAGTTACTCGCTTTAAGCTATGATTAATTAAGAGGCATTAACAATTGTGTTTTTCTAGAATTTGGGATTTTCCTAACAAAAAGAGATTTTTGACAAATAGTTAAAAAAACTAAAGCAAAATGGTAGGATGGTGGGAATTACGGCATTCAAGTGTGTTACCCCTTTTTTGTTTTCTTGATTCTTTTTTTAAAAAAAATGTCTGGTTTGTACTTTTAGGCATTTTTATTTTTTATTTTAGAAAATAAATCAATTTATTTTTTATAATAGTAAAAATCACTTTTAAGGTATTTTTTGATGTCAAAATTTTTTAAGAAAAAAAAAAAACTACTTTGAGTTATACTCGTCATAGCCGTAGCCCGTTGTTGCTACCCGCCATCACCACCAATTCTAACCTCTACCATCTATTGTTTGCCACTGCTCCTCTTTCCTGATCGCTACTTGTCAATATTGACTGTTGGTCACAATTGACCATTGGCACTGTAATTTCCGATTTCTACTAGCACGTATAACTGACTACCACTGCCAACTCAAGCCACCTACCGATCACTATCGCCTTTAGCTATTGACTCTAGACAATGCTACCTTTAACCAACTCTGAGCACCTCCAACCATCACTGAGTGTCGCTTAACATTGCTATCGCGATCGCCACTGCTAACTAAATGTCCGGTTCAATGCACTATTCAATAAAAAAACAAAGAAAAATAATAAAAACTTAGGATATCAAATGTTTTTATTTGGATAAAAACAAAACAAAAAGGAGACTCAGCTCGAGTCCAACGTTGTTGCACATGAGCAGTGACATGCGGAGGATGTTGCTCACTTTGACTCGTTCGTAGCTCACTAGCTGCACTAGCATGACCAGGATATGGCCTGGTTTGGGGAGCAGTTTGTGACTCTTTCAAGTTTCTTTCTACCGCCACCACCACCTCCATCAGATGATCAGGGGCCGTCTTTATTTTATTTTGGTTTTGTGATGTTATCTTTTCCTTGTTGTATTTTACTTTTGTTTGCTAGTTTCAGTTTTGTTTCCTTTCCACTTCCCTCCTCCTTTTTTGTGATGTAAAAAGTGGGAGTAGTTGTACCATTTTCTGTTGTACTGTGCTTGTTCTTTTATGTTTATTAGTTGTACTGTGTTCTTTCTTAAGTAAAATTTGAAGTTCTTGATTCACGTTATTTCTAATAAACTGCTTTAATTATTTGATTATTTGAATACATCAAAAAGGGGGAGATTGTTGCGAATATGATTTTAAGGAATATAATTTTGATGATAGCAAACATTTATGTTTCTCTACGACTGCATTTCCTACTAATGTTTCAGGTCCACAAGATCAAGCTACAAATTGAACCAGCTCAAGAATGGGTAGATTAGGATTGAGTTAGTTTGTAATGCATGCCATGTGTCTTTTACCTTTTCTTAAGTCCTTTGTAATAATGTGGGTCATGATGCTAAATAACCTTATACACACACACTTTGGGAAATTTTTTTGACTGTTTTAGAGTTTTCTAATTTTGATTACATCATCCGGGATGGTCCAAATATCAGTCAGGATTATCAGTTAAAAATAGAAACCCTAATTAGGGCATCCTAGTTAAGACAGCCACAATTAAGCGCATCGCCCTGGACGATATTAGTATCAGTTAGGACGATGCGCTCAAATCAGAAAGAATTTGCCATTAGATCTATTTAGGCATCTTTTAGACATCATCTTGAACGATGCAGTGCAATTATGCCTAAATTAGTCTGGTAATTAAGGAAAGTAGATAAGGTTTGATTGCTCAATCATATCGTCCTGAACAATCGCAGGATCGTACTAGACGATCAGTTTACAAACCTTAGTTCTTCCTAGACGATCAAACATTAACCTAGTTCTATTCAGGGCAATGCCCAGGATGATATATACTGATTGAACTAATCATCTGGGATGATCATGAGATCGGCCTGGACGATCAAGTTATTTTTACATAATCCAGACATCCATTCAGTGCAATAATCTGGACGATATTCAATGACTTGTACTAATCGTACAGGACGATAGCCTATCATCCTGGACGATCTAAACAAATAAACTTTCTAATCGTCCAAACTCTTCAAAATCATCCTGATTGATTGAGCTTAATTTTAACTGATCGTACGGGATGATCGATCGATAGTCCTGGATAATCTTTGATAATTAATTGCTAATTAGGGCTAATTTGGAGCCCTTGTTTAAAAGCTCTCTTATTTTTATCAAGATAGATCTTTTGCTGTTGTCCTGATCTGAGAGAGCAAAGAGAAGAGGGAGAGAAAGAGAGAGAGAGAGAGAGAGAGAGAGAGAGAGAGAGAGAGAGAGAGAAAGGATCTTATGAGGGGGAGTTTGTAAGGGCTTTCATAAAGGTTACTCCAAGAAAGGATTCGCGTCGTCTTCTCCGGTAATCGTCCCTGGTTCCTTGAGGGTTCTAGAGAGGTTTACTTTAGCAACTTCGAGGTTCTCTACCTTCTTTTAGAGGAAGCAAAAAAGAGTTGGGTTCTTTGCCTACTTCTAGAGGAAGCAAAAGGAATTAGGTTCTCTGCCTCATCGGGGTTGGTGGAAAGGAGTTTGTATACAAGCTTCTCCGCCTTGCTGTAGGGGTAAAAGGAGAGATATTGTGTTTAATGCAATACTTGGAAGAGAGGCTCCGGGGAGTGGGACGTAGGTCAGGTTGACCGAACCACTATAAAATCTGGTGAGTTTTTCTTATTGCACTTTCGTATTTAATTTATGTACTTTATTTTCTATGGTAAATCTTGGTTTAGTTATGATTGTAATTTTGCTTAAAGAATTCTTTAAATACCAATTCACCCCTATCTTGGTTAGCCTCAAGGCTAGTTCATAAGGGCTTAACATCCCTGTCTAACTTTCAATACTTTTTTGAGGCTGTTTAGTATGCTAAGAATCCTTGTAGAAGAAGTCAAGAAAAACAATGAAGAATATATGACCTATCTGAGGTTATATGTCAGTGCCCTGCTCGATGACGTTAACCTATATGGAGGAGGTCGAGAGAATTCATATAGGATGTAAGACCTATCCGATGTTGTATGGAAGAGCCCTGCTCGATGACATTAACGTATCTAGAAGAGGTTAACCTATGTGGAAGAGGTTGAGAGAATCCACATATGATATAAGACCTATCCGAGGTTGTATGTTAGAGCCTTACTCGATGACGTTAACCTGTGTGGAAGAGGTCGAAAGAATCTAATTAGGATGTAAAACATATCTGAGGTTGTATGTCAGAGTACTACTTTTTGACATTAACCTGTGTGGAAGAGGTTGAGAGAATCCACCAAGGATGTGAGACCTATCTGAGGTTATATGTCAGAGCCTTTGCTTGATGACATTGACTTATGTAGAAGAGGTCAAAAGAATCTACTTAGGATGTAAGACCTATCTGAGGTTGTATGTCAGAGCACTGCTCGATGACGTTAATCTGTATGGAAGAGGTCGAATTGAATCCCCCTGGGATCGATTTTTCCTTGATTAGGAGGGGGCGAATGCTGCATGTATGTCAAATTAGAGGAGAAGAATTATCTATCTTTAGACCAATACTCCTATTTTGATGTTAAGATTAAGACCTAGCCTAAGGAGTAGAAGTCCATATATGGATTGTATAAAGCTTTTAATTGATTGGAAGTATCCTTACTATCGCTTGGATTTTCTTAAAATATCATCTTGATATTGAAAGCATTGGAGGATCTTTTTGACCACAGTTGGAGTCAAAGTTGCCCCCAGTCCACATCTAATTTTTATAAAATTGGTGCAGCAATGAATGATGTCAAGAAGTTGACATGAATGACCTTCTGAGGTTGGAGCAAAATTCTGTGATATTGAAACAAAATTTGCCCCCCAGTTGGAAACCACATTCCCACAGACGGTGCCAAACTACTGCATCTTAGAATATTTGTGGCGGTAGAGAAATATAGAATTTAACTTCTTAACTTTGTATGAAGATCCTGCACGCATACATATAGGAGAGAGGGTGTAGCATTCATATGAGACACCAAGATTTTTACATGAAAAACCCCTGAAAAGGAGAAAAAATCATGGGGCCTAGCC